AAATCAAAATCCAGTGTTTTTCTATCGTTTTATGGTGGTTGAATCAAGCAAGATGATTTGCGTCGGAGAAAATACAATACCCAAAAGAAGGTATGCTCTTCCTCGGAAGCGGTAACTATGGTATCCCCATTTGAGAAACTGCCCATGTGAAGATTGCATTGCCAAATTTGAGCTACGGGTGTTCAGAGTAAGAACTGACTGCGACTGAGCAGTAGCGATAGGCAGGCTCTCAAAATAGGAGGCGTTTTGTGACCTCACAGATATACTGGGACTACACATGGATTCTGACTCTCCTCATGAGGGACTCTGCAGGGATAATTCTGAAAAACTTCCTTTCTCCCCGCTTCCTACTATATATACCCTATATAACCCCAATATATCAGAATCATAGTACTTTCCATTTTATTTTCCATTATCCCCATATAACCCCAATATATACCCTAATGTTCCCCCAATACACTAACAATCTCAGATGAGAAGCTCTTGTTGTCAAATTCCATCATCCATTCAGGCTGGCCTCACAGGAGCTGGAGGATTAGACGCCGCCAAGGCACTATCCCGTCTGTCAGGATCATGTTTTACAATGCCAGCCAGACGTACCCAATTCTCTGCGGCGTGTGGGTAGGACTCTTGCGGAATCCGCACCGTCGTGAGGATTGATCTGGGTCTCTGAAGAAAAAATTTTCAGTCCAAGCAGGCAAGACCCACGGCTCATACTAGGTGCCCCAGGTCATCTTCATTTGTTCGAGTCTTGCAGCTTCGAAAACTTCGCTTCATGCAATACTACAATGGTCTAGCCATTCGACCAGCAGCTGCTTGCATGACTGGAAGCGGGCTTCACCCATACAAGCATCCTATGCTCACAGCTCTCATTCCTCCAACCACGCGTTTGTTGTGAAAAGACTGCATGCCGCATGTCTGCATCACCTTGAAAGCAAACAAAAGTCAACATCTAGACGGGCTTTTCATGTTTTCATATCTTGGGCATACAATGACGGAATCCGCACCACACCACGCACCTTAAGTCTACACGCTCTTCCTCATGTTTCACATCTGTGTTAAGGGGTTTGAAGGCTCAGAAATAGATCTTGCCTACTTTGCGAGAGTGACAGCCGGCGCTGTATAGAGCACAGGAGGAACAGTATGCTAGCAGGGCATTTCCGGATTTTCCCTGGAGTGTAGATGAGGCGCAGAGGCAGGCGTTGAGCGTCAACGATGTGGGATCCCGCGTTTGTGCGCTCTGCACAAGATCTTTCCAGCCTCCAAGGTGCAAGAGCTCAATGCAACAAAGAGCTGATGAGGCTCGCTCACTCCAAACCCAAAACATGAAGCAGAAATACCGAGTCCCAAAACATGAAACACAACGCGCCAGATCTGAAGAATCTGAACCAATCACTCCAGACAACCACTGAAGTTACGAATGGGTTTGCACAGTTGCAAGGAACTATGACATCGACCTCCCATTGTCAACCAAAAGGAGCTGGAATCAAAACAGAACCAATCGCGTCGCGCAGCACGCTCAAAATCCGGGACATACTTGGCTACGCCAGCAGGTAAGTTCTCCATCACAATGTCCGTAGTTGCATGATGTTCAATGTCAGGGCTAAATTCGGCTCATATATTCAGACGCACAGCCCCTGTATGCCCCCGATATAACCCTGTATAGCCCCCATATTTCCTCCTATACAAACCCTCTATAACTCCCATATTGCCCCTATATTATATATCCCCTTACATAGCCCTGATATATCCAGCCCCTTCACCGCTATACATCCCCTTATATAACCCTAAATATCCGTGTCCTTTCCGTCGGCGCCGCTGCCAGATCCGATGAAGCAGTGGAAGGATCGGAGCAGGGCCCAACAGCAGCCTCAGCTTAGGGCTTAGGGTTTGGAGTTTAGAGTTTGGGGTTTAGCCTCAGCTCCCAGTTCAGGTTTATATGGGAACATGGTGATATATATACAAATATATATATATATATAATATATATATATGTATGGGGATGTTCATGGGGGAAGCCTGAGGACTCAGGTCTGAGCTTATTCTGCAGCGATTCTGCTTCCAGCCCTAAGGCCTGTTTCGTGTACCCTGCAGCCCAATGTAGGACCCTTGGAAGCCGCAGTAGTGGATCACAAGCCTTCTATCCAATTTACCGGTTATCTATTTTGTGTTCTCTTTTCGTTTTCCCACCAAATAACATCGTTCACTACGTTCTTGTTGTTTTACTCATCAATTTCCCATGATCTTGACCATCCGATAAACTTGTGTCTGTTCTATATACCCGGGTTGATGTGCCTGCTCACATGCCGTTTGCATAGATTAGCGCCTTCCTCGGGAGAACACAGATGCCAGCAGGCCATTCTGCTTTTGAGCCCATAGACGTATGATGGCTTGTAGATGTTTGCTGAGTTTTGCTTAGACTTCGCCCAGGCTCTGACTCAACGAAAGCCAACGATCCCGACTCAGGCTCATCATATCGAAAGTCTTCAAATCAACCTTTCGTTAACATCAGCACCGTGCGCGCAAGCTCAGTCTCATTTTCATTCGACGTTGCTGTGGCCCAGGTATGGCCCACATTTGCATTTACATGAACGAGCCCCACTTGAAAGCTTTCTACAACACAGGGAGCTCCCCAAAAAATTGATGACACATCAGAAGGTTCGTACTTGTTTGTGATATTTGCAGCAGCTTTTGGTGAGCTCCCGATGATGAACAGGGCGTGTATGGGAGCTACACAGGCTGCAGCAAGACCAGAGTCCTGAAGCTCCCATGGTCCTGCATACTGTAATTCTGGCTGGCATCATTGAACCTAATCATGCAGGCGACCCCTGTAAAACGAATCAGTGGTACTGTGTTGCATGGAGGCTCAACTTGACCCATTTCAGTCTGGCAACTTGTTCATCACATTGCCTAATCAAAACCTTCCTAAAGAATGAACATTTCCAATGTGATGCGACAAGACGTCCATGAAACATAACATATCCACTTTGTGTAGGTGGCAGGTCATACCGTCAATGTGACTCCATGACTGGATGACTTCCTAGATGCCGAGGCCTGATGGTCTGAAGATTCTAGAGCTAGGCGCATAGAGAGCAAAGACTCGAAGAAAGAAGAGTGAGAGGAACCAAAGCCGCAGTAGCAGCAGGAATGATGAACATGATACGGGTGCATGGTGCGATTTAGGGTTTAGGGTTTAGGGTCCCTAAACCCTCTCACGATCCAACCAATGCCTCGTAATGATAAGAAAGTCGGCTTTCGGAAGCCAAGCTCATCACGGACGCCTATGTCCAGAATTCAGGAGAGCAATGATCAGCGGCCATCCTCTTCTGTAGAGGTTGTGCACTCCTTGTCTAAATCATCATTCGTTCATTGTCGTGTTGGCACATGCAGTTTTGCGCTACCACTGACCCGTACAAGTTACAGGAAACCCAAAGACATCGAAAATCGTGCTACAACTTGAGCATCCTTCTTCAAGTGTCGCAGTCTACTCTATATGAAGGCGTCGTGCTATTTGGGCCGCGTGATGGATTCTGTCAAAGTCAAGGCTAATTTGGACTTGGATGCAAGAAATCCCAGAAGCCCCTTCCCAAAATGCAAGATCCCCAAACAAAGACACAACACCAAGTGAAAGTCGGAATTTTGCTGTGCAAATTGCCAGGGCGCGGAATCCCCGATGGTCTCATCCGCACAAAAGGATGCCCCAAAGGTGGTAGATCCTCGCCGAAAGAAGGCCTCGTTCGTTTCGTGGTATTCAGGACAAGAGCCTTAAAATCTACATGCTTCCAGCATAGCACATGAGCAGGGGCTTCATCTGAAATGATGGGGTTGCTGTTTCAGTCCAGGGCCTGGCTGCGATGCGACATGCCAGTCTCCTGGCAGCGAGGCTCGGCATTCTCCGAATTCAAGGGCAGTCGCAAAGGGACCCCACGTATATATATATATTATATTATATTATGTTATATTATACTATATATAACTACGTGCTGTATGTTGAACATACAAAAACAGTTGCCAACATTGTCTATGAACATCTTGGTTCGTTCTCAATCTCCTCCAAAAAACTTTGTACGTTGGCGGTCTAGCCCATTGACCAGAGCAGGACTGACCTTCGTGGAAGTGGTTGCCTGAATTTCTCCCAACCAAAGGAATGCTGGAACCTTTGGTATGCTCAGGACTTCCTCTTTAACCCTGTCACGGCAGCTCGGCCGAGAAAAAAACAGGAATTCATATATGTTGTTTCAGGGAGGATTGTTGGAAGTCAAGAGTATTAGAGCCCAAATAATTATTCAGGGCCAGTCTTTCTCGCAGAGTGCTGCACGGCCCTCTCCTGAAGAAGCTCGTGCAAGGCAGTTCGCGTAATCTCCTGACAGAGAAGAAGTCATGAGTCATGGAACCCAGAGCACAGCTTCTGTGAGTTCCTTCGCTGGAACCCTGTGCATGGAATGATCTGAAAGCATTGCCCTCAGGACCTGTACAAATGGGCAAAAGGGATATGAAGTATGTGGACATGAGGTTGCCAATATGCAGCATGGGTGCTTTGACCTGGAGCTTTGGACGTACCAAAGCTGGCCACTGGCGCCCTGACAAATTTGTTACAAATTCCGCAGGCTGATCAAGCAGACTCAACATTTCCACGAACTGAATGACCATGAAGTGCGACGTCAAGTGCTGATGATCCACCCCCAAACCGCACAGTCCATCTCTTTGGCTGAAGTGCTGTGCCTGAAGGAATTGAATGCCGATACTTTGCCTCTTTTACCACGCTCCTCCAGTGAAGCATCCTTGCTGTTTGGGCCACCCACCTGCCATGAACAACAAAAATTATGCACAATTTCAGTTTGTGTACTGCCGCCCCTGTAACAGTCTATAGTAGGGACCATATTAAAGGTTACATACAACTATATCCTACATATTATCCAACTGTTACAGAGTGGGGGGGCAGTACCTAAATTATAGTTGCTCCTAAGAAGTGCGCCTAGAATACACAAGCTTGAGAGCTAGAACGCTCGAGATGCCACAAGAATTTCAGTGAGGCCCAATGTTCGGTGATATAAAGGGCGGACTTCCATGAACAAGCCACCCCTGAATTTCAGACGTGCCGCCTATACTTCGGAGATTATTCGGTGATTGTCTTAACGACCAATATGTTGCCTTTGCTTGTGGTAGGCTTGCTTCCGAAGTCAAAGCATTATCCGTCTTCTAGCATCACCATCAGAAGGATGCCTGTGATCCTACTGGGACTATTTCAAGCCCTAAGTCCATCTTCGGCGGAATGGGCAGAAGGTAACATGGCTTCAGGGTAAAAACGTTAGACACCAAGGTAGGGCTTGAAAACACAGCAGAGCTGACCCTAGACTAACCTTTGACTTGGAAGGGAAAGCTCTGCGTGGCGGCGGTTAGGGTGTGCAAGGCTTCTCACCCACCGAAGTATGACTAATCATTGCCCTCGGTTAAGAAAGCCCCCTAGATTTAAAGAACATGTGTTAGGTCAAAATGGGCGACAAAGATATCTTTAAAGGCGGAGGTAGTTGGGCCAAAATCCCCGTAGACTTGAAGAAGCTTATCATCAGACTCTGAAAAATCCTTTCAACTCTACTCAAATCAATTCACTATCCACCTCAAGACCTACCACTATCAGAGTCTATTTATAACCATTACACTCGTCTGGGATCCTACAATCATTTGGCCCTAGGTTATTGATATAGGGGGGGGGCTACTAATCAAGAGCAAGGATAAGGAGGAGTGAATAGAAGCAAATGGAGGCCCAACCTAACGACTAGCCGCTCTTGATTGGTGCTGCTATGTGAGAGACCATACCTCAGCGTTGGCTTGACTCTATGTAGGCTCCCTACTGCGGTGAAGTCTCAATGCGTAAGGTTCTTGCAACACCTTAGCCATCAGCTGTTCTCGGCCCAGTAGCCAAGCAGGGCCACAGCAGCCGACGGTCGATAAAGTGCCCACAGTCCCGTGCGCAACCTAGCCTCAGCAAGAACTTCAGCATCATGATCACCGTGCTTGCAGAGGCTCAGCAGGCACGGCGCAGGGCTAGCGATTCTACTGATGACGTCTATATGAACACAAACAGAATGCCTGCACCAGCAATGCGGTCGCGGTCCACAGAGTGGGGTACCAGGGCAGCATGGGCCAACATTGCCAATTCGGCTTGTAAGCGAGTCACGACACCGTACTTGCTTATCGAAGTAGGACATGCAAAGGCCCACCCCAGGGTGAGGCAACGGCATATATCAAGATGGGACCAGCCACAAGTCTGAAAAATGAGGACCTTCACATACACACTTTTTAGAATCCCAACGCTGTTCCCGAAGCCAGCCAGGGAACATGGTGTTGCCTGCCATGATGTTTTCTGGCATGTCCTTGACAGGAAATTCAACTATGGAACGTGGTGCAACAAGCAAGAAGGAGCAGCACTGCAACGCTTGAGCCGCGGTATCGACTTCGCGCTACCCCTTCTGCTGCCATAAGTACCATTAAACCACCACTGCACGTACGCACTTCGATGAAAATGGCCTTACCACTGAGTGTAGATTAGCGCTCATGCGTGGGGCTTTCAATGAAATGCTGGATCTGCCCGCTCAGATTGCTACCTACAGTATGAGCACATCACGCTCCTGCGTGACTAAGGAGAAGAAACAGTGGATGGATGGATCTGCTTTAGCTCTAGCTGCCTCATGCAGGATGACTAAAGAGTAGACCATTATCAGTCAGTCTTCCACATTCTTACAACATGTCAGTGGCGAGTAAGCTCCGGGAGGATTACTGTTCAAGCTTGCCACTTGGACTGGCCTCCCCCATCCGGATCTTCAGGCACCGTAGCATGCACTGCGTTGTGCCGCCGAAGAAAAGCAAGAACACGCAGATCACCACCAGCGTGCTGGTAATCAGGATCCTCAAGAGACAGGAACTCTAGTAACAAATCGTACAAATACTGCTGCTGCTGGCGGCGGCGGCGGTGGTCGTGGTGGTGGCCGTTGTCATGATGTGAAGGGCGGCCGCTTCTCCATTGCGTGTTTGGTGGAGAAAAAGCTCGCTTTGATCATGTTGACTCTCCTTTCAGTGTATTGGATTAACCCTTGCCCTACTGGATTCTGCAGTAAACGCCTCAGTAGTAATTCAATGCCAGCTCACATGGTCCTGCATTATACAGGCAGGGCTTCATGGCAAACAAACTTACAGTACCAGTAACATGCCCCCGCTGCATGTCCTATGTGAAAAGTGGTTTCTCTATCTCGTCCTAAATTGAACATATTGGGGCGATGGATGTAAAAGGCAGCTTTAGAATTCACGTCCTTATCAAGCACCATTCAGAAGTACAAGAGTATTTGCCCTGCGTAAGGAAAGAAAATCAGAACGTTCCGATTCAGCCGGAGATTTCAGAAGCAAGAGCCGCTTTCAACCAACCAATTGGTAGGACGGAATTGTCAGGAGATTGTGGAGTAAAATGGAGTAAAGGTCCGTTCTAGGGCTAGTACCACTAGGAAGTACAATGTTTTGAGGAACAGTGACAAATGACCCCCTGTTTTGACTTTGTTTTAGAATATAGACGGGTTTGGGAATTTTCTCATGCAGCGTGTTTTTGAAATGCTTATTTTGGATACCCCCCACCCAGGGACAGCTGAACAATAACAAGAAATGACTCAATATGCTAAGCCATGGATATAACCTTCAAGTATGATAGGATGCTAATGGGCGGGGGCCATCTTAAAAAGGCCGTCTTCTTGCCTTAAGCCACAATATGTATTGGTTTTCCAAAAAATGTTGAGGACTAAGAGGTCTTGACATAAAGCGGGAGACGGCATCCAGAATGCGAAGCAAAAAGCAAAAGCAAACACACACACACACACACAAACACAAAAACACACACACACACACACGCGCGCGCGCGCGCGCACAAAACAATCGCTATTCTGACCCTGCGGTCCAGGCGCCCCAAAGATCATCAAGGTTTCCTATATACCAAAAGCTGATGCATCTGAGGTCGGGAGGTCGGGGTTCTTGGTGGTTTTGGTCATTTTGTTGCTGCTGCTGCTGCTGCTTCTGGTAGTGGTGGTGGTGGCGGCGGCACCGGCGGCGGGTACTGCAACATGGTTTGATAAGTGACAGCCGCAGGCTGGTAGGCCATCAAAACGTCTGGGGGGGAATTCTTTCTCCGCAGCTTATGATGATTGTTACTGGCATTGAATTGCCAGTAGTATTCCATGTGCCCATCATCAACGCAGAGAGCAAGCGAACATGTGCTTTTCTCCATGTAACATCAATGCAGCTGCAGGATGACTGGGCAGCGTCATCAAGTAAAATCGGCCGTTCCAGAAAACCCTCCAACTCCAACCAACGGACGTCGAAATCAGTGCGAACATTGCTTCTCAAAACCTTTAAACTCCTGATGCAGAAGCCTCCTTCGACCTCACGAAGGCCCAATGATGCGCGACGAACAGTCTGTTAAAGCCATAGACTTGGTAGTTGTCATAAAGAGGGGGACCCCAATACAGAATCAAAAATACTACAATCCTTACTGTAGGGACCCCCAACAAATGCCCAACAGTTTTGGAAACCGTGAATCCCTATCAACCCCCATAAAACACAGTTTTCGTTCCATTTCCCGCTTCTCTTTCAGTTGATTCTCTGGGTTAATAAACACCCAATAACATCCCATATGCTCATATCACCCTACATAATCCTATATAAACCCTAAACCCTGAACCCTAAGCCCTAAACCCTTTTTTGAATCTGGAACTGCAAGATGCCAGAAGCCGCAACTG